TCTTATCTAGGAACTTGACGCTACACCACCCTGCCCTCCGGGGCCCAACATCACTTTCTTTCCTGGGCTGTGTCTCTCCCCTCCAGCCTCCAGAAAATGCTTCCTTCTATTTTTTTTTCTTTTCTGGTTCTTCAAGAAACCCCGCTCCCTCTGAGGTGACTACAGTGTTAACGTGACCACAGTAGAAGAGGGAAGAGGGCTATAAAACAGGATGAATCACAGGTCAATTCAATATGATAATAAGCTATTTCCCCCATTTCTACCCAAATTGTGCTCATTTATATCCCACATCTCTCTCCCAAACCTGGAATTCCCTTTCTTCACGCTCCACAAAGTACCCAGCTGTTATCCATTCTTTCATGTTAAGAGCTCACACTCTGGAACCACACAACCTGGGTCCAAATCCCCACTCTTCCACATGCTCACCCCGTGACCCAGAGCAAGAACCGCTCTGGCCAGAGTTTTCTCATAGGGTTAGTATAAAGAATAAATGAACGGATCAGTGCCTGGAACACAGTAAGTGCTATATAAGCGTTTACTGAATAAATAAAATAAACAAAAATTTTATTTACCTCCTACCTCATGTGCCCCTTCACCTCCATCTTTTAAAAGGTTGACCAAAAAGGATTCCACAAGTGGAGGGGAGGGCTGGAATAGTGAACAAGGACAAGAGGAGTGCTCAGAGCCTGTTGTCATTTTCTAATAATACACCTCCCATCACAACCGTTATTTCTGTCTGGAAGGGCCAGTTATAGAAGCATTCCAAATTGACTTGTTCTTACTCTCACATTTCACATCATCCCTTTCAAGTACTGCAGACACACATGAGGAGGTGAAAATTACTGAGGCCACCTTCACCTTACAAATGACCCTGATGCACAAAGGCCACCCGTCTCCTCCCCCATTGCCCCATGCCTCTCCCCCTTCTCAAAAGCTGAGACCTGGCTTGCAATGCCAGGGGAGCCCATACGAACTAAAGCAATGAGGAGATTTTTTAAACAGGGAAGAAATAAGAAACTGTCATTAGTGGAACGGGCTAGCCCCAGGAGCAGGCTCTCAGGGCTCTACTGCTACTGTCCCCACCCCCCAGGCCCAACAACCACAAAAAGGGAACATAGTCCCGACGGCTGGAAATGTTTTACTCTACTTGCTTATGCTGCCTACAATTCCTGCAGTAAGAGACTCTTTTGGGTTCAACTCTGGCTTTTAAAATAGGACATTCACTCAGTAATATTATTTGACATAATTACCACATGTCAGACTCTATTCTTGGCTCTGGGAATACGATGGTCACTAAATGAAGTCTGTGCCCTCATGGAACTCATATTTAGGGAATTAAGGGGCCATCAGGCGCTCACATTTTAGGATGTGTGGTCGAAGCCACTTACATTATATATTTCTTAACTTTATCTGGAGCTTAAGGCACAGGGAGCGCTCTGGAGAGAATTCAGATCCTTCCTAGACCAACACATTTAAGAAGAAGGTTAGAGTGGAACTCAGAGTGGCAGGAAGACAATGGGAAAAGGAGAGAGAGGGAACAAAACGTGAAAGAGGACTAAAGACAAACTTCTTCTATTTTTGCATTTTTAGCCTAAAGCCAGGCCTACTTTTCCCGCACCACATGGTCCTTGTACTGGTCTGCCATGGCTGCCATCACAGAGAGCACCAGAGACTGGCTGGCTTAAACAACACAAATTTAGTTTCTCGCTGTTCTGGAGGCTAGAAGTCCAAGATCAAGGTGTCGGCAGGGTTGGTTTCTTCCAAGGCCTCTCTCCTTAACTTGTAGACGGCTGTCTCCTTCCATATATGTTCACACGGTCTTCCCAATTGTGTGTCTGTGTCCTAATCTCTTCTTACAAAGACACCAGTCATTTGCATCAGGGCCCACCCTAATGACCTCCTTTTTCTTTAATCACTTCTTTAAAGGTCCTGTCTCCAAATACAGTTAAATTCTGAGAGACTGGGAGCCAGAATTTCAAGATATGAACATAGGGAGGACACAATTCAGCCCACACAGTCTTCTACTCTCGAGACCAAAACCAAGATAACACAATGGTGAGACTTCACCAAACATTAAATAGATCCAACTAGTCTTTATGAAGTATTTTGTGGGAAAACATACACTCCAAATTCCAAATAAACAAATTAAAAAAAAACTTTTAGAACTATCAATTGAAAAGACCATCTGGAAATAACCTTTTTTTCCCTTTATAATGAGGCTTTCACTGTTTGAATGAAACCTAATCTAGTAGGATCTAACTACTTGAGGATAGAATTTCTTCTTAGAAAAGTTTTGATATTTTTACATTCAAAATAAAGATCTTTCTGGTCAATTAGACATGTTTTAAGCATTTCCTTATTTATAGATATTACATTGCTTTTATGATAGTCATTTCAAAAAATGTTTCCTGGTGAAGGGGCCAGTCATGGGAGGAACGCAGGCTGAGCATTAACTTCCTTCTTTCCGGCTTCACAGGTTAAGTTGGTACATGTTTAACTAAAAACAAAACCAAGCAAAATTCCTAAATCTAGAGCATAACTTTAGTGAAAATTATTTTATACGACAACTGGAAAATTCTGGCAAGTCACCAGATGCTTTACCCCGCAAGTGACAAGGCCATCAATGGAACAGCAAGTATTACCCTCAATCAAACTGGGTAATTTTGAGTTTATTATCTAGAAATCTCTCTGTAGTTCCCTTACAATTCTGTTATATACATACAAAAAATAGAACCCTTGATTATAAGTAGTTGCTAAATCATGCTATGGCTTCTTTCAACTATAGACTATAAGCAATATATGGAAATTCACACATTCTTTTTATTACCTGCAGCAAATGCTTTAAATGCTGAATTGTAGCAACTAAACTTTCCCAGGCACTTGACGGTTCATAAAGGTTACAGAGGCAAAGCACACCGACCTCAGCGTCAGGCAGACCCAGGCTGAGTCTTGGCTCTTCTACTTTCAGAGAAGTCTTGAAAAAGTTCCTTGCCTTCCTCAAGGCTGTTCTTCCATAAAATGGAAATGGTAGCTGTGCCCACCTCACAGGGCTTTGGAGAAGATTAAACATGATGACGCATGTAAAGCACTCAACACAACACCTAGCATGTATGACATAGTAAATTCCAGTTACAATTACTATTAGCATTACATAGGCTCCATGGTACAACCATCATGTCCACTTTCAAAATGAGGAAACTGAGATTTAGAGAAGCTGTCACCTGCCTAAACTCAAACAACCAATAAAGAACATCCTCTAACTCCAGACCCTGGAATTTACATTGAACCCAGATGAATAGTAAGGGTTGATGAAATGTTTTTAGATAAATTGGCACTTACCATCTTTGACCCATCCCCCTCCCCCCTCATTTTTACTTGTTCACATCTCCGTTTCTTCCAACAGCTGGTATGGACAGGTAAGTAAATTATTCACGGCTTGCGTCAACTATAGATGATGAGAAATATATACTAATAATTAATACAGGGACCTCTCTGATACGTTTAGGCATTAGAGGAACTAGCAGCTGCGTTTTCACTGTGAGAATTAATTCAATTTCAGATGGAAAAAAAATTGCTCGAATAAAGGTAAATGTCACTTAAAGATGTTGTTCAATTCATTCTTCCAAAAATATTTCAGGAAAATTTGAAGAAACACTGTTTGTTCACAAGTAAAGTTTTTAATTTGAAAATATGAAGAAAATTAAGAATAGCAACTATCTTTTATTGCTTGATCTTAAGCCTGTCATTAACATTAATCGATGAGTAAGAAACATACATTAACATTTAAGTAATAAATGATATCTTCAAAAAGAATTAGTGAATATAACAGATTACAGAATATTTTCAGTTCAGTTTCGTTTCTTTTGAGTCAGATATTAACTCCAAGGAGGCTACAACATCATAACTTACTGAGTGCTTATTCTGTACCAAACAGTATACTAAAGATATTAATTGATAAGATTCCCCACAGCTGCCCGTGTGTTAAGTACTGTTATTGCCCCATTTTACAAGTGAAGAAATCAAGGCAGAGGAATTTTTTTTTTTTTAAAGATTTTATTTTTTGTCCTTTTTCTCCCCGAAGCCCTCCAGTACATAGTTGTACATTCTTCGTTGTGGGTCGTTCTAGTTGTGCCATGTGGGACGCTGCCTCAGCGTGGTTTGATGAGCAGTGCCATGTCCGCGCCCAGGATTCGAACCAACGAAACACCGGGCCGCCTGCAGTGGAGCGCGCGGACTTAACCACTCGGCCACGGGGCCAGCCCCAAGGCAGAGGAATTCTGTAACTTGCCCAAGGTCCAAGAGCGATTAAATGGAAGAACCAGGATCTGAACTTAGATCACCTGGCTTCAGACTTTATACTCTCAATCGCTACTTTAAACTAAATAAAATAATCAAGTGACTATATAAATACGTTCTGTTAAAGTGCTTGAAAACGATCTGTTTTAGTAAGTTAAGCAATGACTATGCAATAATTAATTACACTTTTTTTCCTAATGCAAGGTCAAATCTCAACTCAGCAAAATTTCCACCAAAAACGAAGAGTTTCTATCACATAGTGCATATTAAAACATTCCACGTTATTAAGATCCTATTATAGATAAAAGTCAGAAAAATTCCAATTTTAGAACTTTTTAAGCTCAAGATTAAAAATATATTTAATACAACATAGAGGGAGAAAAGAATGTTGCATGTGGCTTTAACTCAGCTTGCCTCAGGAAAAAGCTATGTTACCTCAAACAACCAATATATGTAAATTAGAGCACTTGCTGTGGTTTTCATTTTTAGAAAACTCTCCCAAATCCGCAGCCTCACTTTTCATCTCTTCTGTAATATGAGAGATGTTGTGTGACCCAAAGTGCTTTGGAAATATATAGATAACATAAATGTGGAGCACAATATGCTTTCCTAATTCCATTTTTATAGTTGCAAAAACTACTTGGTTATCCATAAGTAATTTTACCTATTCCTTTCACACTGATGTTATGTTTCTAACTGCGCAGTTATTTCCAGGTGGCCTGTTGTGACGTCCCAGACCGGTCATCAAGACTTGAGGTGGGAGATAAGGACAAGCAAGTGAGCTCCAGAAACAGATGAGTTGTGATTCAGAACTCTTTCTCATTAAATGCAACATAATACAGTATCTATTAAAACATACTTCTGAAATTGCTGCTAGTAGTAACCTTAACAGAAATAACTGAAAATATATGCTTTGCAAACAGAATTTCTCTAAATAGAACACTATTAAATTGGTCCTTGGAGTGTCAGAGGATTTTTTAATTTTGTCTTCATAACTGTGTTCTTTCACAATTCACTGGCTTTGTGTCTTCAGATGCTAATTTCTTTTTCTACTGGAGAAGTTAATAGGCACCTCCACGTACAGCAGATGGCTCCTTATAAAAAAATAAATAAAACTAAAAAGTTGGAGAGCATCTGGCCAGATATATCAGATCTGGTAGTTCACATTTTAAATACCTGTTATTCTTGTTCAGATAAAAATAATTTTAATCCTGGTAACTTAATCTTCTGCTCTTCTGAAATCTTAATAAGGTTTTTATGGGAGCAGATATTAAATATAATCAGTTGTCATAGTGGTATGAATTCTGTTTTTCCTTTTCAATATAAGCAACATGCCTTAGTCCTAACAGCTGCACAAATAGAGATTCACTTTGATTTATACTTAGCACTTTCTATCTAAGCATCTAGAAACTCTGGTTAACTCCCTTCCATTACTGCAATGTTTATTTTTTCATGGCTTCTGCACAGGCATTTGAGTTTTAGGCTGGTACTTGTGGTATTTTTCCATTTTGGAATAACGTCATTATATCTTGAATGCTTCTCAATGCAGATAGAATATTTCTGGTTTGAGAGTGGCTCGCTCCTTTTGGCTGCTCCTGAACCAAGATGGGAATGTGACCATGGGGTTGGGTTCAGAATTTTCCTGGGGTGAAACAGTGTTTTTCAAACAAAAGGTGACTTCGAATGAAAATTACATGGATCTCATTGTGATCTTTTGTGGACATCCAGCTACACAAAAAGCAAAGGTTAAAGCCAGCTGGGTTTTTCTTTCTCAAACCACCACTCATAATAAACTACCCTTCTGTGATTTGCAGCTTCCACTCTGCAGGCAGACCACCTAGGCTGCGTATCAAAGAAAGAGCCTCTGCTAGCTTTGTGTGGATCTGCAGGAGTCACTCTGAAGGCTTCTGATACCTTTTAACCTGTGATCTATGCATGTACTTGAGGGTGACAGTACCAGACTTTACTTCAAGGAATAACACACTTCTTATGGACCATCTCTACTGTGAGGTCCTTGCAACCCACCTCCCGCTAGATCCACTGAAAATCTCAAAGACCAGCACCCTGTCAGTAATGAAGTGTCTACCACATGCCAGTCCTCACCATAATCCAGCCCACAGAACAGGGAGCTGAAGTGCGTCAGCTGGTTAAATAACATGCATCAAATTACTTCCTAAGAAAGAAGCTGAGTGGGATTTGAAGTCAGGTCTATCCCAAAGCCCCTTTTTTTCTACCACCAAAACTCTCATTGAGGGAATGAGAAGAAGCTAGAGCTCTAGAAGTACCAACCAGGGAAGCTCTTGCCTCTGAGCCAGCCAAGCCACAGGATCTCAAAATTCAAGCATTTATAATTTTTAAACATATACCTGTTTGAAAAAGCAACGCCCTTTAGAAAATCAGCAACAAAGCTCACTGAAAAAGTTCACCGTTAGTCAAGAGTAAAAGGTATTTGGACCCATTCACTCCACCCAGAGCAAGCGGGGCCCTTCAGAGCCCAGTAAATTCCATCTCTGTAGATACTGAGGAGGCACCAAGAGGAGTAACGTGAGTTCACCTATGAACTAGATTTCTCTCGATGCTGCATAATATGGATTTGCAGAGCACAAGACTCGGGTAGGGGGTGGGACATGTAGAGGCCACTGCAGGAATCAGGCTAAAAGTTAATGGTGGCATAAACCAAGACAGTGGCAGTAGAAACAGCAAGAAAGAGAGATTAAGAAATACATGAAAAGTTAAATAACCAGGCATTTGTGACAGATTAGAGGCGCGAGGGACGGATAGTAGAATTGAGAAAAATGAGTCTAAACTAATGTACGCAAGTGTTTCGAAAAACAATGAAAATAGCCCTACCTAAATGCAAATTTAAGCCCCAGATAGCCAAAAGCCCTCCCCACAAAAATAATCTTTAACTGTTAAAATTTCTTCTAAAGTCCAAATTCAATTACTTTTAACAATGCAGTTATTTCAAGTTTGACTGTGAATTAGGCTCCTGCTGAATATTAATATCCATGATTTATAAAGTACAAATTTATCCTTTATGCTGCACATAATTATAATCTTGCCATTTCCAGAATTATGCTCCTCTTGGAAGTTTTATATTTGAAAATTATGTTTAGTTAATGTACAAAAGGATAAGAGAGGCCATTCTATGCAGTGACAGCCTTTGTATCAACTAGAGGAAAAATGCCTTTCTTCCACTGTCGACTTCTAGAAAAAATTTCCCATGGTATTTGTTCTCTTAATGACAATGGGAAAATTATTTTTTGCAACACACAGCTACACTTTAGGAATAGCGTGGATTTATAGCTTCAATGATCCTGAGCATAGATGAGTTAATGGTTAGAGGGCCACGGAAACAGCATTAGCTGAACTCAAAAATGAACTAAGAACCTGACAGAGCTTAGAAAGGCCTCTTTGGCCCTCAAACCTAATTTTGCACTTAACCAGATCCGACTACCTACCAAGGTAGTTTGTAAGGCAAGTTCTGAAAATATGGGGGAAATTTTTTTAATAGAAAAAATAGCTTCAAACTTGGTATAATTTTGAGACCATGCTTTTTATCTTCCTTGCTGTCCTAAACAATCAATTGGCTCTCAAATTCCAGAGGTGTTCAGAACTTCTACATTAGCACATAGTTCAGAATTGGAAACTGGTCAGTACATTTAAAATTTTCTCTACATCAAGTGAATTAGCTCCTTCCAAGTTGCAACTTAGGGCTCATGCCTTTCATGGGGTCACAAATGCACTAGGTTTGAGTTTTGCTAGTAGTTACAACACAACTCTGTCCAGTCTATGCACACTCACAATCACTCCAACAGGGAGGAAGCACGGCTTTCGGGTCAGTTGGTTCTGAGTTACAGGTTTGCAACGTCATGGTCTTCACTGACATTTGTTATGCATTGTCAACATGGCAGACCTCAAATAAGTTTTTAAAAAGTGCAGTATAAAGAGCTATATCCAATTTATATTTCCTCCTATTTATTTCTGTTCTTTCATAAGGAGCCAATTTCATATTATGTGTTCTCCAGGCAGGCAAAATGAGAACTCAAATGACCTGCAGTTTGCATCCCAGAGTCTGAGAAATATTAAAACCTTGGAATTTGCCAAAAAGAAAGCAATTAAAAGTCAAAATAAAGAATCCCCATATAAGCCAAGTGTAATGCAAAGGTAAGGCTCCTTGGGCTCCACCAATTTGTGAGTTTTGTTAACATACTGCCACTGAGCCCACTGGATCAACAATTCTCACCTGCCTGACTTCAGGTGCGTCTCCTTCCCCCTTCTCATGTCTAAGAGTCCCCAGAAGGCAGGGGTGGGGGAAGAGGGGACACCAGAAAAGGTCTTCCAAATATTCAAAACCGCTGCCTGCAGCCCTGTCACCACTGTCTGTTGCTATCTGACTTTTAATGCTCCTGTCGATTCCTTAGGCCTGCAAGTTGGTGGTTTTGACTTATTTATCAGGATGTCGCCGTAAGCACAAAAAGACCAAGTAAAAGTGGGTGAAACTTTCCTAAAAATACGGAATTAAAAGACCAACAGTGATGGGCAGGAGATGCAAACAGACAGTGCATAAAAGAAATGTAAATGGCCCTTAAACACATGAACACAGAAATGCAATTAAAACCATGCTGAGAAACCACTTCTTACCTAGCAAAAGTTTGACAATATATTTAATTATGCAGAGAAGAATCATTTCAAGTGAACTTAAACACAGAAACTTGACTATCTATGCTTAATGGAATCCACTCTAAAGACAAAAAAACATTGCCAGGGGGCTGGCCCTGTGGCCAAGCGGTAAGTTCGTGGGCTCTGCTTCAGCAGCCCAAGGTTTCACTGGTTTGGATCCTGGGCATGGATGTGACACCACTCGTCAGGCCATGCTGAGGCAGCATCCCACATAGTACAACAGAGGCACTCACAACTAGAATATACAACTATGTACTGGGGGGCTTAGGGAGAAGAAGGAGAAGAAAAAAAGAAGACTGACAACAGATGTTAGCTCAGGTGCCCATCTTTAAAAAAAAAAAGAAAAAATCTTACACTATTTTCAGTACCCATATTGATAAATTCAATATCGGTTTTCTTTATCTGATATTATCAAAGACATGTAGTAGCAAAGTATGTATTTATAATTATATTAGTGTCATTGGGAAATAAGCTTTTCAGAATAAGAGGAAAGACAGTAAAAATGAAAATATTCCTAAATTTGAAATGGAAATAAGTATAAACTCATGATTCATTTTCTCTTTAAAAGGAAATATGTATTTCCTAGCTCTGTCCACTGAAAGGGCCAGGAAACAATGATCAATCTAGTAACAATAAGCAGCTTTAAGCACCTAGACTTTGGTCCCTAAACACCATTTCCCATTTAAAGGAGCCAGAGCTCACTGAAAAACTGACTGACTCTAGGACTGGGGAGGAAATGTATGAGATAAGGACAGAACTTTTTTTTTTTTTTGAGGAAGATTAGCCCTGAGCTAACATCTGCTGGCAATTCTTCTCTTTTTGCTGAGGAAGACTGGCCCTGAGCTAACATCTGTGCTCATCTTCCTCTGCTTTATATGTGGGACCCCTACCACAGCATGGCTTGCCAGGCGGTGCCATGTCTGCACCCAGGATCCGAACCAGCGAACCCTGGGCCGCCGAAGTGGAATGTGCAAACTTAACTGCTGTGCCACTGGGCCAGCCCCTGGACAGAACATCTTTTATCCTAGAAATCAAGGAATTTGTCACAGTCTACTGGGGTCATGTCTAAAGGACTCCGTAGCAAACAAAGAAGTTCTAACTATCAAAAGATGGAACAAACTGAGCAGCAAGAACAATATTAACAGCAATGAATTGATGCCCCTCAAATATATTAAAATCTATGAATCCATAATAATACTGTTTTAAAAAGTAAAAAAGAGAGAACCTCAATGATCCCCCTTGGTGGATGCCAGAGAACCAAATCATTACTCTGAACACCGGTAAACAAAAGCGGGGGGGAAAAAAAAAACCACAAGAATTTACCCTGTCTTTCCTGTCTGAATTGTGCCTTAGGCTAACCAGAGAGATGATAAGAGACGGTTTTATCTTTTAGATAGATTTTAGCTCCTAAGTGAAGAAGGAATGACAGAATTGGAATATAAGCATTTCACTAACGTCTAATGAAATTAGGGATCCAGGTTATGCTCACTGATGGCTGCTGACATTATTAGATGAAAAGCTGATGGGTAACTTTATAATGTAGATTGATAACACCTGAACGTACTTATCACTCTCATCACAAAAAAGAGAGCTAACCATGTACCTTTTGATTGAAGTAATTTTGCCATCTACGTTGAATACTTGCCAAAAAAATTGAATGAGTCAAAGGTCTACCTACCAATTTATAGAAAATACTGAGGACAGAAAAACATGCTAATGGACCCCACAGGAATGCCTTCAGAAAAGTCTGTACTGTGGGAAACCCTATAGGACAAATGAACAAGGATCTTCAACAAATAAATTAGAAGGAAAAAAAGGTGGAGAAAGTTAAAGATTAAAAGAGATGTGTAGGCTGTATTTGTATCATGATTTAAACAATCCACATGTAAACACAATCCATGAGAAAATCAGGAAAATTTGAACACCAACAGGATAGTTGATGGCATTAAGAAATATGATCAAATTTTAAAACATGATAATAGTATATAGTTATGGTTTTCTTTTTAAGCCATTGTCATTTAGTGATATATACTAACACATTTATGAACGAAATGATCTACTGGTTTAGTGAACAGAAGACAGGAAAGTAAATAAGGCAAGTTTGGTCATGAATTGATAATTATTAATGATGGATAATGGGTACATGGGCATTTATTACACTAGTCTTTCTTCTTTTGCTTATGTTTGAAATTTTCTAAATTAAAAAAAAATTTTAATAATGCAATGTCCAAAGAAGATATACAAATGGCCAGTTAAGCACATGAAACAATGCTCAATATCATTAGCCATCAGGCAAATGCAAATCAAAACCACAATGAGATTCCAATTTACCCCATTAGGATGGCTACAATCAAAAACGCAGAAAACAACAAGTATTGTCGAGAATGTGAAGAAACTGGAACTCTCATACATTGCAGGTCGGACTGTAAAATGGTGTGGTCACTTTGGTAAACAGTCTGGCAGTTCCTCAAATGACTAAACATAGAATTACCACATGACCGGCAATTCCACTCCTAGGTATATACCCAAGAGAATTGAAAACATATGTTCACATACAAATTTGTACACAAATGTTTATGGCTATTATTCATAATAGCCAAAAAAGTGGTAACAGCACTAATTTCATCAACTGATGAACGGACAAATAAAATGTGGTATATCCGTACAATGCAATATGATTCAACAATAAAAAGGAATAAAGTACTGATACATGCTATGACACGGATGAACTTTGAAAAGATTATGCTAAGTGAAAGAAGTCAGTTATAGAAGACCACAGAGTAATTATTTTATTTATATGAAATGTCCAGAATAGGCAACTCTATACTGACAGAAAGCAGAGAAAGTTCACCAGGGCTGAGGGGGGATGGGAAGTGCAGAAAAACACACGGGGTTAGGAGGTGACTGCAAAAGGATATTGGCTTTCTTTTTTGTAGTGATGACGACGTTCTAAAATTGACTGTGGTGATAGTTGCACAACTCTGTAAGAATACTAAAAACCACTGCATTGCATATTTCAAATGAGTTAATTGTATGTTACACAAATTCTATCATAAGAAAGCTGTCACTAATCATCATCATCATCATCATGATAATGCAGTGGTAGCCAAAAGCAAGTGGCTTAAACAATAAGGAAATATTTTTTTTCTTAACTAAGAAGAAGCTCAAAGGGTGTTTCTAGACTTGGTTAATTCAGTGAGTCAACAGCAACATTAAGGACCCTAATCCTGGTCTGTCTTTCTGCTCTGACAAGCTGCGGGTGACACTCTGTCCTTAAGCTAGGTCCCCTGATGATCAAAGTACTTCTGCAGCTGTTCCACAGCACAGATACAGTCACATCAGAGGAACAAGAGACTGACTCTTTCCTGGATGTCTTTTTGAGAACAAGGAAACATTTCCCAAAATCGTGAAACAGACTTCCAGTCGCCTGTCACTGTCCAGAATTATATCCTATGTCATGCCTCAACCAATCACAGGCCAGGCCAAGGGAACCATGGAAAGACCCAGATCATGGGCCTTCATACTGAGGGTACTAGTGTACTGCACCCTTGGGCTACATGAGGTTTCCTCAAGGGTGTAGTGAGAACAGATCATTTAAAGTAATGTCCAGATCCCCATATCCATGTTTTCTACCCTAAGAATAGGCTAAGCCTTTCACTGTTTTCCCTCTCATGTTATAAAGAAAGGCATACCTCTCACCCATCCTGAATTCTTATACAGCGTAATGCTCTGGTATGTTAAAATTTCAGTCACCATACTCAAAGGCATTTTGAAATATCACAGTAGGTGTTGAGAAAGCATATTACTCTAATAACTCACACCTAATCCTTCTGCAGATCCAGCGATTACCAATCCTTTGCTTTTACCAAAATTGAAGAGGGACCTAATCGAGCTGTCAGCTGATCATTAAAAAAAATTTAGGGGCCAGCCTGGTGGTATAGTGGTTAGGTTCACACTCTGCTTCAGCGGCCCAGGGTTCACAGGTTCAGATCCCGGGCGTGGATCTAGTACTGCCCATCAAGCCATGCCGTGGTGGCGTCCCACATAAAATAGAGGAAGACTGGCACAGCTCTTAGCTCAGCGACAATCTTCATCAAGAAAAAGAGGAAGATTGGCAATGGATGTTAGCTCAGGGCCAATCTTCCTCAGACACACACAAAAAATTTAATGACAGACCACAGTTGATCTTTGGCCTATAACTCAGAAGGAGTTCAAAGAGACTAGAACAAAATCCTTTTTCCCCCACCTACTTATTATATGCACAAGATTTCAGAGTTTACATCCAGACAAGCGAAAAATAGGAACAGAATTGATGCTGAACCCGGTCTCATATAACAATAAATAATATGCATCCTGCACGAACTAATTGAAGGAAAAAAAGCCCCATCCATCTCACTAAGGGAGCATTTCCAATGAAACTGTACTTTCTAATGTTTAACAAGTATTTATCAAAATTTGAAATGCGTTTATGTTGTTTTGCTCAACTGTGATAACTCAATCCAAAAGAAATTACTTATCACTTAAGAGCCTTATGTTTACAGGAAACATTACAAATGTTTTAAACTTAAATTTATATACATATTTTGTTGCAGAGAAGTATAACAGGGCAATTAATAAAAGACTTTCAAGCATAAAAATACATTACATGGGGATAAATTCTATGGGAAAATTAGAGCAGAAATGAAAGTCTAAGGAGAAAAGGAAACAACGTACTTTTCCTATAAAGATGAATTTTTGTGTATTTGTTATGGATGACAGCGGGAATCAAACTGCTACAGTATTCAGATTCTGTTGGAAACAATGACATTTTAGGATGAAACTGTTACAGTCATGTGCAAAAAATCTTGTCACAGGCAAAAAATTACATATATTGCAACTCACGTATGCTATGATAAAAAATTTTAGACACAAAATTGTAAATGTTGGGGCCAGCCCGGTGGTGCAGCAGTTAAGGGAGCACAGTCCACTTCAGTGGCCCGGGGTTAGGCAGTTCAGATCCCCGTTGTGGACACGGCACCACTTGGCAAGCTATGCTGTGGTAGGCGTCCCACATATAAAGTAGAGGAAGATGGGCACGGATGTTAGCTCAGGGCCAGTCTTCCTCAGCAAAAAGAGGAAGATAGGCAGCAGATGTTAGCTCAGGGCTAATCTTCCTCAAAAAAAAAAATTGTAAATGTGTAGGAAGGTATGTGGTTTTCAAAACTATTTTGAGGGGATATGAGGAAAAAAACAGAATAAGAAGGGCACTGACTTAGGCCAAAGAAAATTGACCACCAAACTTGGGTAGGGGTGGGGCTCTTCTAAAAGATATGGCTACAAGAAAGAAAAATGTCTGAAAATAGAGTTCTTTGAGGAAGGAGTAAGGGGGAAAAGGGAATGAAGCCTCCTTAGGTAACTAGAGTTTCTGACCACCCATTCTTGACCTACAATGCCCTGAGGCACCTGCCAGAGCTCAGAGTTCCCTGCCATCTACCTCCTGACTCTGGTGCCCATCTACCTTTAGCTGACATGAGCAGGTGGGTGGGAAAGCTACTGATAACATAAGGTTCTTGCCAATTTATCCCCCAGGTTTATAAGAGGCTCTGACTCCCAAGTAACGTGATTTTTTCAGTCCCCCCTAGCCATCACCTTTCGAGGTACCAAATTGCTCTGAAAGGCTAGGTGGGTGAGTTTATGTGTTGTCCAAACCTATATCTAGAATCATTGCTTTCTTTGGTGATCAGTTTTGCTACAAAGTCTATACCAGTGCTGTCCAATATGGTAGCTACTAGTCACATTTAATTAAAAAGAAATAAGATTTATAATCCACTTCCTTCCCTTTCACACTAGCCACATTTCAAATGCTCAATAGCCACATGTGGTGACTGGCCACCAGCACAGTTATTGAGTATTTTCATTGTTGCAGAAAGTTCTATCGGAAGGCTCTACCATGTTAAAAATATCTTCATTTATGGGAATTCTCTCCTCCCCAAGCCTGTCGTCCCTCGTTACAGCCTAGCTTTTTTATTATCCTTGGCCTCACACTACCCCATCCTCATAGTCTTTAAGACATGACATCAAATGTCTGAATTCTACTTGTTTTCAGGGTTGAAGCTCTTTCCCATGGGGCTCCCAAGCCCCAAAGAAATCAGGGAATGTAGCTAAACACCAGTTTAACAGATCCAAGCTCTCAGTGTCAGTGAGGGAGGTTTTGCTTTTCCAGCACAGGAAAGGAGAACAGATTGTAAGAAGGCACATTCCAGCTCCACCTGCCTGCACATCCCAGTTTCAGATCCGATCCAGCAAGACACCCTGGGACAGCTTTAAGAGGTAATGGAACTATGAAGAATTTAAAAGGGAAAAAAAAGCATAGTCTCGCCACACAAATGGAAGATTAGGCGTGAACTGAAAATAAATATTCCATAACTATAAAAGAATTTCAGGCAGTAAAGTGTTTGTGAGCCCAAAATGAATGCATCCCAAGATGCATCTCAAGGAACGCTTACATGTATGTGCTCGTACAACAGACTGTGCAGTTTAAACGATGTATTCATGGCAAAAGCAGATATGAGCACAGGAAATACTACTTCACACAGCATTTCCCAAAGCAGATACATCACCAGCTGTTCACATGTACAAACTCTGGACGTTAGAATCTATCTTATTAAGAGAAAACCTATTCCACTTACAAAAGGTTTGATTTTTTTATTGACACCCTGCCTATGACAGAAAAATTGATTTTAAATATATATGACAAGGAAACAAGACTGAAAAGCTTTGCCCAGAGCACTTACCTCTGCATTCTACTCTTTCTCTTACACGCCTGAGCGCACCAGCCTCTTCTGTAAGCAACAGTGCTGCACACGGCATTATGCCTCGTCCTCTAACCTGCAGCGGTAGTACCGACAGGAATGCTCTCTGCAGCCCCAGGGGAATACATCAACCAGGCCTCTCCAGGCATATACATTGCAGTATCTATTTTGGCTCTTCACAGACCTTTGTTACAAGTTCCTGTTTCTTAACTGTGTTCCAAACAGGTGAGTTTGCCAAAGAACTGAGTTACCAACTGAGATGTCGTTCCATTTGTGTGGCATAAGTTGTGCATCATAGCACACCTCTTAATGCTTGGGCCCACTCAGGGATTGAGAAAATGGCAGTTTTCAAGACAAAACTAATGGCAGAATAGCTTTTATGGTTCCAAAAAAAAAAAAAATTCATCAAATACAATAAGGAGATGATTGTAAATATTGAAGATGGAAGCTCTTAGTTCTGGCTCCTAATTTGCTTCCACGTTTTATTTCATCATCATTTTGGGGTAAAAACTGAAATGTTAGTACAGAGGCATGTAGAGGAGAAAGCTGGGGCATATACAGTCATGTATCGCTTGACGACAGGAATAGGTTCCGACAAATGTGTCATTAGGTGATTTTGTCATTGTGCAAACATCATAGAGTGCACTTAGACAAACCTAAATGGTGTAGCCTACTACAGATCTAGGCTACAGGTCTAGACCAAGGCTATATGGTACCAATCTTACGGGACCACATCATATATATGGTCTATCCTAGACTGAAATGCCATTATGTGGCACATGCCTGTACAAAAAAGAAGAAATACAGAATTTAAAGAACATAGGAAAAAGCAGAGACATAGAATAACCTCTATACTAACACTCAAGCTACTTCAGACATCTATGCACAAAATTCTTACAACATGATACAACAAGAACAAGAAACAAAACAAACCATGAAGCTGCATTTTGTAAGAACTGTTCTAGCTATTAAAAGCCATGCTACAGCAGTGGCCCCAAAATTCTTTTCCAAAATATCCTCTTAATTCACATTTCTGTTTCTTTGTTCTTTCTCCCCAGCAGAGCCCCAAGTTTCCATACAATTCTCTTACATAAATGCTCATATTCTGAACTCACACTGACAGAGAGTGACATGGGTCTTTCCACCCAGGACATCCTCAAGACCCTAGCCTTTCCTGCCCGATCCCCATCTACACTCCTTTGTCTGAAATACCAAAACCCATCCAATATCTCTCTGCTTTGAAAGAGCGGCATCTATAATCCTTCAGCCATAAGGACACTCTCAACTATACAAAACCCATGCTGAGAAATATCAGCACCAGCACGAAATGCAACTTACCTTACACCCAAACACTGAGCTGCTAACCTTCTACCTTCTAAAGACAAATAGGCTGAGTCGTGATTTCCTTTCCCTAAAGGCAGTCTTTCATTGAAACAGACATTTTTCTAAAATATACAGATGGCCAACAGGCACATGAAAAGACGTTCAACATCACTAATTATTAGGGAAATGCAAATCAAAACCACAATGAAATGTCACCTGAAGCCTGTCAGAATGACTATTAATAAAAAGACAAGAAATAACAACTGTTGGAGAGGATGTTGAGAAAAGGGAACCCTCATACACTGCTGGTGGGAATGTAAATTGGTGCAGTCACTATGGAAAACAGTATGGAGATTCCCCAAAAACTTAAGAACAGAACTACCATATAATCCAGCTATTCCACTGCTGGGTATTTATCCAAAGAACTCAAAAACACTAATTCAAAAAGATATACACACCCCTATGCTCATTACAACATTATATAGCCAAAACTTGGAAACAACCTAAGTGCCCATCAACAGATGAATGGATAAAGAAGATGTGGTATATATATACACAATGGAATACTACTCAGCCATAAAAAAAGATGAAATCTTGTCATTTGCGACAACATGGATGGACCTTAAGAGTATTATGCTAAGTGAAATAAGTCAGACAAAGACACATACTGTATGACTTCACTCATATGTGGAAGCTAAAGAAACACACACACAAATACAGAGAACAAATTGGTGGTTACCAGAGGGGAAGTGGGGGGTGGGAGGAGGGCAAAAGGGGTAAAAGGGCATATTTGTATGGTGACAGATGGTAAACTAGACTTTTGGTGGTGAACACGATGTAGCCTATAGAGAAGTCAAAATATAATCATGTATACCTGAAATGTACATAATGTTATAAACAAATGTGAGGGAGGGAGAAAGGAAGGAAGGGAGGAAGGAAGGGAGAAAAGTTTAATCTACAGCCACTACAGGGCATTACATTAAGGATAGAGAAATGATCAAACTCATTAACTTACTTCCAATATCACAAAACTCCTATCTTTCTTCCACACCTCCAGGAGTCAAAGGTGGGAAAAAGGACACTGTAACTCCAAAATGGCTAGCAATGATAGCTCTTTCAGATAATAGTCTAAAGCTCCTAAACACTTGAATTGCCCTGGCTTACCGTAGTCTGTTCTCACCCCTCTTGGTAAACAATGATTTTGCCACGGAAGTCATACATCAAATCACCGATTCATTTCAGAGGACTGGAGAAATGTTTTGCCCTGTACACTTTGAGCTCCATCTTTCTAGTCAATACATTTTCAGTCTCCATTACAAACTGTTTTCCCTTTCTACTAGTCATTTATCAAAGTAAAATAAATGGAACAAAGAACTAAGCACCCAAGAAATGTTCCAAACAGGCACTTCAAGAAAACAATAAAACATTCCATTTCAAAATGCGTTAACATCTAACCTATCACCCATTTACTTCACCATCCCCCCACAAATTACCAAAAAGGACATCAACACGACCCTAATTCATCAAACATGTCCATACTTTTGCTGAGTATCATTTTCAAACAAGTAAAGGTTTATTGTAGAGTGAAATGGGCCCAACTACCTTTCTTTGTCAACATCAGAAAAAAGCAAGTAACATGGATGTTAGTCTCAGGCTGAGCACAATGGGGATAGTCAAGAGACAGGAGACCTGGTTCCGATGATGCTTTCTCCAGCCTTGTTGATTAGGCCAATCAAGCAGATGGTAGCTCTCATTTAAGACTTAGTAAACAAGCCACACTGCCTCCAAATGTCTTTATCCTTGTGGAGAACATGTGCTCCTCTCTCTGGCCAGCATGCTCTCATTGTTGGAACTGCCCTCTTGGTAGTGTGGTAAATCATAAGGCTGCTTCTTCCTCCATGAAGATATGATTATACCTAGGCGTATGATCCTTGACTCAAGTTAGACCAATCAGAATTTTCCCTAGAACTTTGACTGGAGCCCCAAAAACAGGCTCTCTGCGAACATGAATTATTTGAACTATGTAAACCAATGGTGCCACCACAAAGAGGCTGCTTGAGAATATGCCAAGCCAGAGTAAAGCAAAGCCAAGAAAGGTGTCATATGAACACACAAATGTAGCTGCATCTGGAGCTAAACCCTTGGACTTCCAGGTTAAGAGATCAATAAATTACGGGCTCTCTTTATGCCAGGTGAGTTGAGTTTCCATCACTTACACTAAGAGTCCTAATAATGTAATTTCCACATACCTTCTCCTGCTTTGCTTCTATCTTTGAAAAACAACCTTGTCTAGGTTGTCCCTGCTATTTATGGTCTGATCCTGCTCCATCCATCTTGTCCCTACTTGATTTTCTCCATCCCTCATCTTTCATTCTCTTAATTTCTATCTTCTCTCTTTCTGGTTCCATAACCTCTACTTACAAGCTTTCTCCCTCCTTTTGACATAAAATGGGTTTCTCCCTTTTATCAGACTCAAATCACAAAAAGGCACATTTGTAAAAATAGTTTAATCACAGGGTTTGAATTGAGTACTCTGCCTTTCACTTAACATTCCCTCATAAATGTATCTACACGGCTAAGTGCTCTTCACATCTATTATTTTAATGGCTATATAATGTCCCATGTCAACTTTATGATGATTTACTTAACCACTCCTCTAATATGGACACTTAGATAACTTCTTAGTTTGTAACATAAATAATGCTGGAAAGCATACTTCTTCATGTATAATTTTTCTTTCTTCTAACTTAATTTCTTAGGGCAAATTCTCAGAAGTCTCATCAAAACTGATTTGATGATTTAAATTCTTTTCTAATAGGCATAAGGTGATATTCCATTATGGATTTAGATTTTACCTGGTTATTAACAATGATTCTTAATATATTTGCCTCTTGTATTTTCTCTTATGTGAACTCTTTCTTCTTATTTTTAGCCAGTTTAATTCCTAAAGTTTGGTGATATTCTTAAATATTTGCATGAATTCTTTATAAACACTAAATAGTTCTTTAAAAACACTAATTCTTTGAAAATCTATATTCTATTGGGTTTTTTTAGTTTTACCTTGTTAGATAGTTATAAATTTTTATCAAATTTGTCAATACTGTCTTCTATTCCAACAACTTTTAAAAATCATTCAAAAATCAAGTGTTGGTTTTATCCTTACATTAGAATTCTTTACTAATACTAGCTAATAGGAGTGAAAATTGGTACAACTTCCCTGAAGGGCAATTTGGTAATATGCGTTAAATGTGTACACAAATATGCTTTAAAAAAATATGACTCAAAAGTTGTATTTCTAAGGAATTTACCCTCAGGAAATAATTGAAATTTACCCCCAGGAAGTAATTTACCCTCAAAAAATAACTGAAAAGTGTGCAAGGATGTTCACCACAGTGTTGCTTACAATACCAAAATATTAGAATTAATATGAATACCAATCAATAGGGCTGGCTAAAATAACTTAGTCTATCCATGATGGATTCACGACGTAGATCTAGATGAACTGACAGAAAAGTATTCATTACACAGTATTAAATAAAAAACAAGCGACCAAACAATACGCATATTGTGATGCCTATTTCTATTTCACTCACACACACACACACACAGAAAAAGTTCTGCTATAAATTCATCTAACATTTAGGAGTAATTATTTTTGTTTGTGGAATTATAGGGATCAATGGAGACCTTTCCCTTCTTTTTATCTTTTTGCGGTTTGGTTTTTTAAAAAACACTATTGTTTACCCTGTTGACATTTTCTTAACTTAATAATTTACTTATCGTACAAAAAAAATGGAACTCTTAGTTTTAAAGATACACTCTCCTTACTAAGGTATCCTTGACCTTAATAAGTTTGCATAAATACACCCCACAGGAATACACACGCCTTGATGCTCACAGTATTTCTGTTATTATGCTTTATATTTATCGTCTGATTATTATTATTAAGGTTTTTCCTCCAAGTCATCAGTGAAACAGTAAGAAATATAAAGACTTTTTTTTCTTCAACAGCTTAATTCATTCTACCAAAGTGATAACCGAAGCAGCCATTTAACACGAGTCTCTCTCATATGCACTTGAGTTATCTTATTCCCATAAAAGATTCCTCTCTCTTCTCCTCCTAAATCCTCAAGCTATTAAGAATCTTTTCTAGCAGTTCATGTTTTTCAAAAGGTTCTACTATTCATTAAAATATCCTACCACACTTGACCTTTCTCTTAAAAAACACATTTTAAATGTAGAAATTGATAAATCTGATAAAACTCTAGAAAAAAACAAAAAGATAGTAAATTCTGTTGTCCAGCAGGGAGAAAAATTATACTCTTCAAAATCTGGGGTAGTATATATAAAATAACCAGGTTTCCATTAAAAAATTACTTTTAATACAGTACAATGTACTATATCCTAAAACTATCCAGAACATAATTTAATCTTCGCAAATTGTGAAGGAGAAATGAGAAATGCCAACTAGATTAAAGAGGAGGGAAAAAGTTTATTACCACCACCTCAGGGGGCATCATTATGAACATCAGTGTTAAAGGAGTGGATTAATGTCTATTAATATGAAGTTTTACTTGACATAATGCCAGATGAACCCATTTTTGCTGAACTCATTAATAATGAACATAACAGTACTGACTCACTGTAGGAATATGTCTGCTAACTGATCTTTTTTTTTTTTTAGCAATGATGATCAGTCACATGGAGCCACCCACACCCTCTCCTAAGATTAAGAGAGCAACTACATCTGGACCTGGTGAGAATGAGGAGAGAGAGGAACCTGGCAGAGGAGGGTGCCATGATATCTCACTTCCGACAACACACTCATCAGTTTCTAGTGACAGAGTTAGAATTCAAGAGCAAATGATTTCCATTTCAAAGGTTCCCCATTGCCTACAGAAGGTAAAACAAATGCCTTATTCCAGGCCCTATGTGATCTGGAGTTTAAAAGTCCCTTCTCAGTGTTTCACCCATCCCTTCTCACACTTCAATCAAACTGGACTACCTTTGCCATTTATGCTTTCACTCATACTGATCCTCTATCTTAAGAGCCTTTCCCACATCTCTCCCAGTTCTAAACTGACCCATATTTCAAGGCCAAGATCAAAAGTGGATTCCTGCAGGAATAATAGTATTCTCAAAGCTAGCATGTACTTACTACTTACTATATTCCAGGTACTTTCATGTATTATCTCATTTATCTTTGCAACAGCTCTGTAACATAGGCACAACTATTATCTCCATTTTGAAGGTAAAGTAAGTAACTTGCCCAAAGTCAAACAGTAGTGAAGAGCTCACACTCAAACTCAGGAGTCTGAATCCAGAGCTCAGGTCCTTACCCATGCTGCCATACTCCTATAGTGACACTCATCCCAAAGATCTTTGAATTAAGCTCATTATCTGACTGTATAGTATATATTGGTTATAAAATCCTATTTATATTGGCTTAAACAATGAGGGAATTTCTTAGCTCTTATAACAATTTCCCAGGAAGGTTAGTTCCTGGGCTGGTTAAGTCAGCAGATCAACAAGCAAAATCCTTTAGGAACCAAACTGTTTCCATCTTTCTCCTCCATCAACCTCTGTGTGTTAGAGCAAGGTATTCTAGTGGTTGCAAAATGGTTGCAATAGCACCTGGGATTGCATCTTCAGGTGCCAATGTTCAAAGAATAAGTTTAAAAATCTCCCATTAGTGAAATTCATCATAATACAGGCACACCTTAACAAACATGGAAAATCCCAAATAAGCAATCTCAAATTACACCTGAGTTAGAAAAAGAAGAACACACAAAGCCCAAAGTCAGCAGAAGGAGAGAAATAATAAAAATCAGAGCAGAAATAAATGCTATCGAAACAAAAAAGGCAATAGAAAGGATCAATGAAACAAAGAGCTGATTCTTTGAGAAGATAAATAAAATTGACAAATCCCTAGCCAGACTTACAAGGAAAAAAAGAGAGAAAGCTCAGATAAACAAAATTAGAAATGAAAGAGAAGAAATAACAGACACCACAGAAATGCAATGGATTATAAGAGAATACTACGAAAAACTATATGCCAACAAAATGGATAATCTAGAAGAAATGGATAAATTCTTAGACTCTTACAACCTCCCAAAGGTGAACCAAGAAGAAACAGATAATCTGAATAGACCAATCACAAGGAAAGAGATTGAAACAGCAATCCCAAAGAATCCAAAGAACAAAAGAATAAAAATCCCATCCCAAAGGATAAAACCCCAGGACCAGATGGCTTTCCTGAGGAGCTCTACCAAACTTTCAGAGAGGATTTAACACCTATCCTTCTCAAGCTATTCCAAAAACTGAGGGAAGATGGAACAATTCCTAACACATTCTATGAGGCCAACATCAGTCTGATACCAAAGCCTGACAAGGACAACACAAAAAAGGAAAACTACAGGCCAATATCACTGATGAACATAGACGCAAAAATCCTCAACAAAATTTTGGCAACCAAAATTCAGCAATACATCAAAAGGATCATACATCATGATCAAGTGGAATTTATACCAGGGACACAGGGATGGTTCAACATCTGCAAATCAACATCCGCAAATCAATCAATGTGATACACCACATCAACAAATTGAGGGATAAAAACCACATGATCATCTTAATAGATGCAGAGAAGGCATTTGACAAGATCCAACAGCCATTTATTACAAAAACTCTTCACATATGGGGATAGAAGAAAATTACCTCAACATAATAAAGGCCATATATAACAAACCCACAGCCAACATCATACTCAATGGGCAAAAACTGAACGCCATCCCCCTGAGAATAAGAACAAGACAAGGATGCCCACTATCACCACTCTTATTCAACATAGTACTGGAGGTTTTGGCCAGAGCAACTAGGCAAGAGAAAGGAATAAAAGGAATCCAAATAGGGAGGGAAGAAGTGAAACTCTTGCTGTTTGCAGATGACATGATCTTATATATAGAGAACCCCAAAGAATCCATCAGAAAACTAATATAAATAATTAACAACTACAGTAAATTTGCAGGGTACAAAATCAACTTGCAGAAGTCAGTTGCTTTTCTATACTCTAATAACAAATTTACAGAAAGAGAACTCAAGAATACAATTCCATTTACAATTGCAACTAAAAGAATAAAGTACCTAGGAGTAACTTTAACCAAGGAGGTGAAGGACTTATACAATGAAAACTATAAGATATTACTGAAAGAAATTGATAATGACATAAAGAGATGGAAAGAGATTCCATGCACATGGATTAGAAGAATAAACATAGTTAAAATGTCCATACTACCCAAAGCAGTCTACAGATTCAACGCAATCCCAATCAGAATCCCAATGACATTCTTCATGAAAATAGAAGAAAGAATCCTAAAATTCATATGGGGCAACCAAAGACCCCGAATTGCTAAGGCAATCCTGAGAACAACGAACAAAGCTGGAGGTATCACAATCCCTGACTTCAAAATGTACTACAAAACCATAGTAATCAAAACGGCATGGTACTGGTACAAAAACAGGCACACAAATCAATGGAACAGAAGTGAAAGCCCAGAAATAAAACCACACACCTATGGACAGCTAATCTTCAACAAAGAGGCCAAGAACATACAATGGAGAAAAAATAGTCTCTTCAACAAATGGTGTTGGGAAAACTGGACAGCCACATAGAAAAGAATTAAGGTAGACCATTATCTAACGCCGTACACAAGAATAAACTCAAAATGAATCAAAGACTTGAAGATAAGTCCTGAAACCATAAAACTCCTAGAAGACAATATAGGGAGTACCCTCTTTGACATCAAACTAAAAAGGATCTTTTCCAATACCATGTCTTCTCAGACAAGGGAAACAAAAGAAAAAATAAAGAAGTGGGAGTTCATGAGACTAAAGAGCTTCTGCCAGGCAAAAGAAACCAGCATCAAAACAAAGAGACAACCCACCAACTGGGAGAAAATATTTGCAAATCATATATCTGAGGGGCTGGCCCCGTGGCCGAGTGGTTAAGTTCGCGCGCTCCGCTGCAGGCGGCCCAGTGTTTCGTTGGTTCGAATCCTGGGCGCGGACATGGCACTGCTCATCAGACCACGCTGAGGCGGCGTCCCACATGCCACAACTAGAGGGACCCACAACGAAGAATATACAACTATGTACTGGGGGCTTTGGGGAGAAAAAGGAAAAAAATAAAATCTTAAAAAAAAAAAATCATATATCCGACAAGGGGTTAATCTCCATAATACATAAGGAACCCACACAACTAAACAATAAAAAAAGAAAAAGCAGCCTGATCAAAAAATGGGCAGAGACTATGAACAGACATTTTTCCAAAGAAGATATACAGATGGCCAAGAAACACATGAAAAGATGTTCAACATCACTAATTATCAGGAAAATGCAAATCAAAACTACACTAAGATACGAATTTATGCCTGTTAAAATGGCTATAATCACTAAGACTAAAAATAACAAATGTTGGAGAGGGTGTAGAGAGAAGGGAACCCTCATACACTGCTGGAGGGAATGCAAACTGGTGCAGCCACTACGGAAAACAGTATGGAGATTCCTCAAAAAACTAAAAATAGAATTACCACATGACCCAGCTATCCCACTACTGGGTATCTACCCAAACAACTTGAAATCAACAATCCAAAGTAATATATGCACCCCTATGTTCATTGCAGCACTATTCACAATAGCCAAGACATGGAAACAATCCAAGTGCCCACTGACTGATGATTGGAAAAAGAAGATGTGGGAAATACATACAATGGAATACTACTTAGCCATAAAAGAAGACAAATCCATCCCATTTGCAACAACAAGGATGGACCTGGAGGGAATTATGCTAAGTGAAATAAGCCAGTCTGAGAAAGACAAACACCAGACGATTTCACTCATATGTGGAATATAAACAAACACATGGACAAAGAAAACAGTTCAGTGGTTATCAGGGGAAAGGGAGTGGGAGACGGGCACAGAGGGTGAAGGGGAGCACTTATGTGGTGACAGTCAAGAAATAATGAACAAGTGAAATCTCACATGGATGGAAACTATTATGAACTCAATAAAAAAAAAATCTCCCATTAGTGGAGAATCCTTCTTCGTCCTGAGGTTTCCTTCTCGTGAAGGGATATCAGCATATTAGTTCAGGCCCTTCTTATCCCTCGGAAGGTGGCACGATTGATCTAACTGGTAAATTTAAAAGACTAACTGGGCATGCTTAACTCAGTTCTGTCTTCCTTCCTCTTCTAGGGAACAAATCTATCAACCAAGAGTGTAAGTTTCCCTCTACTTCTCCAAAAAGCAATTCTTACCTGAGCAGCCCTTGTAGGTGAGAAAGCTGCCAGAGGGAAGCTCTGTCTGTGAACGCATAAGTCTGCCCGATTCCGGGGGTTCAGAAGCAGTAAGCCCATTTGGCTCAAAATTAAAGCTATATCTTCCACCTTAGCTTCATTGATGAACGAAGAAAGTGATATTTTTACTTCTATATTTAGTCTTTGTTTTCTTTCTCAAGTTGTTCCGAACTGGGGGGAAAGAGGTGCTATTTATGGGGATCCTTTCAAGGACCCCAAAACTTAGCACACTTCCATGCATATCACATTGACCACAACTAGGTTATATACTCACTCCTAAACCAATACTGGCAAGGGAACGTAAACCTCCTAATTAGCTTACACTTAGGACTTACACAAGTCACGTGGGGAAGGGGTGGGGACTGGAAAAACAATTAGGTCTTTGCCCACAGAGAAAAGGAGAAAACGGGCTGTTGGGTAGGCCACCTAGGGTCTGCTATTACATGACCTGGGGATATAACTCATATCTTCCAACACAGGAAAGTTGATCCACAAACATCTGGAATCTGGTTGGATCACCACTACTACATATACCTCTGGCAAATATGACAGAGAGGTTTCTTTATAGCCGCTAACTTCAGGTTAGGGTTTCCTCTGTTCCTGTTTTCTCATCTCTTGGACCAAGTTCCCTCTGGATTAAAGGCAAACTCAGTACAGTAAGAGCATCAAAGAATAAGTATGCATTTCTGTTAATAATTGTCTCCTGCTCACTATTACAAAACCATTTCAAGAATTTAAGGTACAAGGAACTATGAAATCTGCTCTCCAACAGACACCTTCTCCCCAGCCCCTCCCCCACCCATTCAATTTCCCTTTGGCAGAAAGGAATGACATAAATTTAATAAATAACCAATCTTGGGAGCTGTCAGGAAAGAACTCATAGGTCATGGCCCAAACTCAAGGGCCCCCTGGGGACTGACAATAAACTGTTTCTTAATATTAGAGCTTTTCCCTTTCCTCCTTCCTTTCATTTAGTTTATAAACTCTGGAAACCTAAAAAGTCATTGCTAAAAAGAACTTAGCTGGGATACCAGAGGCTATGCACTTATTTTACAGAAAACTGCTCGGGCTTTTTAAAAAGTATTTTGTGCCAATTTTATATTTAAGTGTCCCTTCCCGTCACAGAAGCAAAATGCCAGCCATATGAAATTTTTAAAGCCAACTTTTCTTCAGACATTTGTCATTCAAATTCCAAGAAAACATAAGCTGGCTTAACTCATAATTGTCATTAGATACTTATATATTATCTTTTCCCTTAGTAAGCAGAGAGCTTTAAAAAGTAAGTAAACTATGACATAAGGTGTCATAAATGAGCGACAGTTCTTTTCTGGGGAATATATACATACGTACATATAAATGTGCAATGTATAAAATAAACATATGTATATGTATATATTTTGTAGTTATAAACAGACAAATGGAGAAAAAA